GGCCAATTCTGAACAACCTCAATCTTCTTAGGATCATCCTTTATGCCTTATGTTGATACAACATGCCCCAAAAAAAGCAACTGAGTATAACCAAAACTTATATTTTGAAAACTTGGCATATAACTGATTATTCTTCAAAGTGTGAAGCACACTTCGAAGATACTGCTCATGTTCCTCTCGACTATTGGAGTAAATCAAGATATAATCAATGAATACAACCACAAAATAATACAAATAAGGCTTGAACACCCGATTCATCAAATCCATAAATGTTGTTGGGACATTTGTCAACCCAAATGACATCACTAGGAATTCATAATGCCCATACCGAGTTCGAAAAGCTATTTTAGGGACATCAGATGCCCTAATCGTCAACTGATGGTAACCAGACCTCAAATCGATCTTCGAAAATACCTTGGCACCCTAAAGTTGATCAAATAAGTTATCAATTCTTGGCAACAGATATTTGTTTTTGATAGTGGGCTTGTTTAACTGCCGATAATCTATACACATCCGCATAGAGCCATCTTTCTTCTTTACAAATAATACTGGTGCACCCCAGGGCGAGATACTGGGTCTAATAAATCCCTGATCAAGCAAGTCTTGTAACTGCTTTTTCAATTCTTTCAACTCCGGCGGGGCCATACGGTATGGTGGAATAGAAATGGGCTGAGTGCCCGGAGCCAAATCAATACAGAAGTCAATATCTCTGTCGGGTGGCATCCCCGACAGATCTACAGGAAATACTTCTGGAAATTCATGAACAACTGGTATTAAGTCCATAGAAGGAACATCCGCATTGGGATCGCGAATATAAGCCAAATAGGCTAGACACTCTTTCTCTACCATACGCCGAGCTTTCATATAAGAAATAATCCTGCTGGCAAAATGACTAGGAGTTTCTTTCCACTCTAACCGTGGTAACCCGGCATAGCTAGGGTCACTGTCTTGGCATGACAATCCAATATAGTATGATAAGGAGACAACCAATCCATACCCAAGATGACATTAAAATCTACCATATCAAGAAGTATAAGATCCACACTAATCTCAAAATTACCAATAGTAACCACACAAGAACGATAGACATGATCTACTACAACAGAGTCTCCCATCGGTATAGATACACACACAGAAGCACTCAAAGAATCACAAGGCACAACCAAATATGAAGAAAAATAGGAGGACATATAGGAATAAATAGATCCTAGATCAAATAGAACTGAAGCATCTCTATGGAAAACTGGAATAATACCTGTGATCACAACATCAGATGACTCGGCCTCAAGCCTAGCTGGAAAAGTATAAAATCGGGGCTCGGCCCCACCACTCTGAACTGCGTCCTTGGGACGGCCTCTAACTGGCTGGCCTTCACCTCTAACGGTCTGACCTCCACCTCTAATGGCCTGACCTCTACCTCTAATGGCCTGACCTCCACCTCTAGCTGCCTGACCCCTACCTCTAGCTGGCTGAGCAGGCGAGGAAACAACCGATGTCGGTATGATGGTACGCGAATCTTGTTGAGATCTGTTACTCGCCAATCTATGGCAATACCTCCTGATGTGACCAATATTTCCACACTCATAACACCTATCTGATGTCGTGGCTGCTGAAGGTGAAGCTGACCCAAATAGGCCAGATAACTGCTGTAGTAACTCTGGAGTGGTGGTGCATTGATAGGAGCTGAATGTGTACTGAATGCTGGTTTCCTATAGTAAGGCATAATAGGACCGTAACTCCCTAAAGTACCGGGAGATGCATGAAGTGCTGAATAAAACGGTCTGGGAGGATGACCCCTACCAAAATTACTCCTACCTCCAGACGAGGCACCATCAAAACCACCGAACTGACGAGGCCTCTTATCAGACTCTATCCTCTCTCCCGTGCAAGAACCATCTCGATCCTCCTCGCGACATTAGTAGACGCTCAAATTGCTTCCGGAATTCCTCTCTTAGTGTGATAGGAAGGAACTTCTCCAGAAATAGCTAAGAGAACTGCTCCCAGGTAAGTGCAGGCGATCCAACTAGTCTGGTCAATGTATAATATCTCCACCATCTCTTGGCGGAATCCGTCATTTGAAATACAACAAAATCAACCCTATTGGTCTCAACTATACCCATGTTCCGCAGTACCTCGTGGCAGTGTTCAAGATAATCATGTGGGTCCTCAGAAGGTGTACTACTGAAGTGAACTGGAAAGAGCTTAGTAAACTTATCCAGTCTCAATAAGGCCTCAAAAGATTAAAAACATTGCCAGATAACCCATTTGGGACAAAACCGGTTCAAGGGAAAAAGAGTGCAATGCGTGCTTTCAGGCCTAAAAATTGTATCATTCTTTGATGATTGCCTGCAAGTGTTAGTTCGTAATGTAAAAAAGAAAATGAATGGGATCTTACCTTAACAATAGTATCACTTTAAGTGAGTTATGTTCCATTTGTTCGATAGTTGCTCACCGTTCATTGTTCCGAGTTTGTACGATCCTTTATCGGTGATCTCAATAATTCAATAAGGTCCTTCCCAGTTCGGCCCCAGCTTTCCTTTGTTTGGGTTCCAGGTGTTTAGTGTGACCTTCCTTAACACTAAGTACCCGACATTGAAGTGTCTAAGATTGGCCCTTTGATTATAATATCTCTCGATCCGCTATTTTTGGGCAACCAACAGGATAAAGGCTGCTTCGTGCCTTTCATCTAATAGATCTAGGCTCGTGTTCATTGCCTCGTCATTCGATTCCTTGGTTGCATATTGGAATTTGAGACTTGATTCTCTGACTTCGACTGGTATTAGAGCTTCAGCACCATAAATCAGTGAGAATGGGGTGGCCCCAGTACTGGACTTTGAGGTCGTGCGGTATGCCTATGAGCTTTCGGGCAGGATTTCCTTCCATTTTCCTTTGGCGTCGGTCAGTCTCTTCTTGAGGTTTTGGAGTATAGTTTTGTTGGTCGATTATGCTTTTCCTTTCCCACTAGGGTGGTAGGGTATTGATATGATCCTTTTGATCTTATGATCTTCAAGAAACTTGTTAACTTTGCTGCTAATGAGTTGTTTCTCGTTGTCGCACAAGATCTCGGCTGGCATTCCGAACCGGCATATGATGTGATCCCAAATGAAATCGATGACTTCCTTCTCCCTGGCCTTTTCGTATGCTTGGGCTTCCACCCATTTAAAAAAATATTTAGTCATAAACGGAAGGGGGCCAACGATATCCATTCCCCACTTCATGAATGACCATGGTGAAAAACCGAATATAGCAGCTCCCTAGGTTGATGAATCATCGGAGCGTGTATTTAATATTCATCATATTTTCGTACGAACTCCTTCGAGTCCTTTTCCATATCGATCCAGTAGTAGCCGGTTCTGATCACTTTTTGAACCAATGATTTGGCGCCTGAATGATTTCCTAAGGTGCCTTCGTGGATATCCCTCAAAACGTACTCGGTGTCCCCTAGTCCTAGACATGTTGCGGGTGGGCCATCGAATGTTCTTATGAACAGGATTCCGTCTTCAGATAGGCTAAACTGGGCTGCCTTTGTAAGTAGAGCCCTCGATTCCTTTGGATTCGACGGTAGTTTTCCGATCTTTAGGTATTCTATATATTTATTTCTCCAGTCCCAAGTTAGGCTCTTTGAGTTAATCTCTGCATGACCTTCTTCTACTACCGATCACATAAGTTGTACGACTGTCCCCGAGTTGAACTTGTCGTCCTCGACCGATGACCCTAAGTTAGCGAGGGCATCGGCCTTACTATTTTGATCCCGAGGTACGTGTTGCAAAGTCCAATCTTTGAATCGTTGTAATGTTACCTGAAATTTATCCAAGTACCTTTGCATTCATTCTTCTCTGACCTCGAATGTCCCATTAACTTGGTTTACCACAAGGAGGGAGTCGCACTTGGCTTCAATTACTTCTGCCCCCAAGCTTTTGGCTAGTTCGAGACCTGCAATCATGGCCTCTTATTCGGCCTCATTGTTAGTCAATTTCATAATCCTAATAGATTGTCTAACTGAATTTTCTGTTGGTCGCTTCAATTCGATGCCAAGTCCGGACCATTTTGCGTTCCAGGCGCCATCCGTAAAGAGGTTCCACATCCCCGATGAGGTTCCTGAGTTGATTAATAACTCTCTTTCGACCTTGGGTATTAGGGCTGGTGTAAAGTCGGCCACAAAGTCTGTCAAATTTTGAGACTTAATGGCGGTCTGGGGTCGATATTCAATATCGTACTCACTGATATCCACGGCCCATTTGGCCAACCAGCCCCAGAGCTCGGGCTTATGTATAACATTCCTCAATGGGTAAGTAGTCACGATACATATGGGGTAACACTGAAAGTATGGTCTCGCCTAGGGTCCTGCTAACATAGTAAATTGGAAATTGTGTACCGTGCTCTTCCCGGACCAGGACTCCACTTACCACTATCTCTGATACTGCCAAGTACAAGTATAGTTGTTTTTCTGTCTTCGGCGTGTGGAGCAGCGGTGTGCTCGATAGATACCGCTTGAGTTTCTCCAAAGCCCGTTAGCACTCCGAGGTCCATGAGAAGTTATTCTTCTTCTTCAATAGTGTGAAGAACCGGTGGCTCTTGTCGGAGGCTAAGTTATATGGTACTGATTTGGTAAGGGATGCCTTGGAAAAGGTAAAGTTGATTCAGGAGCGACTTCGTACAGCACAGTCCAGACAAAAGAGTTACGCGGATCAGAAAGCGCGTGATATATCATTTATGGTAGGTGAAAAAGTTCTCTTGAAGGTTTCGCCGATGAAGGGAATTATGAGATTCGGGAAGAAGGGCAAGTTGAGCCCAAGGTTT